ATATATATATATATTCAGTTCAGTAAAATTTAGTTTCAAAATTATTTTTCAGTTTGAAATAAGTTGTTTTCATGTTTTCATTTTTTTCTTTTGGTTTCAAATACATATTTTTAAAACAAACTTTAAGGCCTTAATTTAGCTCCATAAATCATGATCTTGTTGATAAGATAATTGCTAATCTGTTGTTATTATTAGTAGTATTTATTTTATTTTTGCAAAAGCTGTGTGGTTGAGTTTTGTTTTTAAGATTCTTCTCATCTACCAGCACCTGAACACTGAAAGGAAGCAGCAGGTCGTAATGAAACTCACAAATCTACAGAAATAAAACCTCCTTCGTCTTGATGCATAAGCAAACTCCTGAGTATCCCATCTTTAACTGTCTGACTTTAATACAAGTTTTGTGATATGTTTCTGATTGTTGCAGAAAAAACTACCATCACATTTTTTTGCACTCATACCAAGTTCTTACATATACAAAAGCTATAAATTATTCAATAAACTACACAAATAAATATTTCTTTTGTCTGTTTTTTTCTTAAATCATAAAAAGAATCTCACATTTGACTGCTGACTGCAATGTCTTCTAATTTACGACCAGTAGGGGGCACCATTGAGCAGCTGTTCTCCTTTTCCTTCCCCTTCTAAAAGCTTTCTTTCCCCTCTGTTGAACCATCAGCTCCATTTCAAGTATTTATAATTCCTCTGAAGGTCTTTTTTTGTGTGTGCGTGTGCGCTAAAGATAATTCATATTTTAAGTTTGGGTGTAAAAATAGCCTCTCTCTAAGATGGCACAAATTGGTGACAGATTGTTGAGCCGTTTATCTTTTATCGAGAGCAATTACCGAGCAAATGTGAGACCCCCTGCTTGGATTTGGTGGCAGGCCCACATCCACCAATCCACCCACCTCCCACGACGGTCTGCCAAATTGGTACTGTGGGTGCGCAGGGAATTCCACACGGAGCGTAGCTTTGTGTGTGTGTGTGTGTGTAATTGACACGGGCGTGGTTGGGACTTGTGTTTCTGAATAATACTACGGCACTGCCCCTTCATATG